CTCCTGGCCAGTGAGAAATCACAAGGAGACTGCCCCTCCCTGCTTACAAGGACTGTTTGCAGAAGAGGATATTTGTAAAGGAGTCTGACGATTTTAGTGGAAGAAGAGTAAAACCATTGTAATAGTTCATGACTCACTAACTAGTAAAGAGACACCTTTCTGAGCCATACATACCCTGTGTGCATTGGACTATTATCACGGTGTTGCTTAGACTGGATAAATCTATAGAAAGGTCAGACGTTTGTATGCTTGTTGCTGTACTTGTAGTGAAAGGCCACCTCTCTGTGGATAGGAATAAGTTTTCCCCAAAAAGTACTGGATAATCCCGCTGTCAATCATTGTGAGGAAAAATTAATCCTAGGATGAGAAGTAAGGTCTTACTTCAGAATAGCGGGAAGGGGAAACGTCTTTCTTTGGAGGCTTGGGGTCATCTGGTCTAGACGTGAGGTACTCTTTTTTTTTTTTTTTTTTAATCTGGAGCATTTCTGTAAGCGTGGAATTAGAGCTTGGAGGTGAGTGCTCCCGATGGGAAATGGAAAGAGCACAGACAGGGCCTCTGGGTGGGCTCCCATACTGGACAGCAATGTGATATTTATAGATCATGCTTGATTGAAACTTTCTGTTATCTCCAAGCCTCCAACAGTCCTTGGCAGTGAATAATTAAGTAAAGGCTGTTCTCGGTGCTGCTCTGGGAAGTTAGTGGAGGGTCTCTAGTCACAGGGTTGCTATTTATCCTAAATAGTAATATTCCGAAAGTGCATCTGAGCTAACATTCCAAGGCAGAATTCATATTGAATCACATAAAGCACTCTTCAAATAAATCTCTCAGTTTTCTTTTCAAATTGCTCATGTTTTGCTTACAAGTCTGACACCACAGAGTTGCCTTGCAAAGTTTTATGGGCTTGAGGAGACCCACACTTGGCATGCCACTATCCCTATAATCCACTGAGATGAGTAGGTGTGTTAGGCCTGCACCTGTTGGAGCCCGGTTGTGTAAGGTGGCCTGGCTCAGTGAGCCAGGGGTCAGCTCCCAGTTCCTAGGATCAACTCCCCTTCCTGTGACCAGGATCCTTCCTGGGGGCAGAGAACTCTTCTTAATTATCTTGTTTGCCTTCTACTGCTAAAAATGTTATAATTCACGTGGCTTTCTTACGTTTTGTTCTTTCATGTAAAACCACTTCTCTTTTTGAACCTTTTTTATTCTTACTCTTATCCTTCAATCCAAGAATATAAATTAAGGGAAATATTAAATTGTTTTGCAATTTTTGTCTGGTTTTCTTTAAGCAGTGACTTCTAATCAAACTTGCAGTTTGAGGGATAGGTTATTAAAAAAGGACATTGATGTTTTGTGAGATCTCATGATAATTTCAAATTCATTTTATTATAGGAAGTATCTAGTTCATATTTTCAATAAATTTTTACCAAACTCCATTTAAATTATAATTTACATATAAAATAGTAGGTAATTTATCTCCAAGTCACATTTATGTAGTGATTACAACAATCTCTAAACATTCTTCTCTAGGGATGGATGTTTGGTCTAGCTGTTAAGTTGGGATCCTGGCTTTAGCTTGGCTTAGCCCTGGCTGTTATGCTATTGTGGATGTTTGGGGAATGAATTAGCAGATGGGTCCATCTCTCTCTCTCTCTCTCTCTCTCTCTCTCTCTCCTCCTTTTTAAATAAAACAAACAAAAAACTTAAAAATAATCTTCTCTAAATTTAAACATGCATTGCTTTTCATTAGGACTTGGACTAATGCATTGATGTTGGATAAGTACATGCTATAACAAAATAGGAAATTCCAAAGTAGTTACTAAACACTACATTAAGTGATTATTTAATGTTTACATTGCAGCTAGAATTTTGTGAATTGAAATATCTCCAGTATGCTTTCTTTATAGTCTTTATGAAATGGATTAAAACAACATTTATTTTGTAGTAGCTATAAATGGAAGCTCAGAGCAATTGTCATACAGTCCATAGGCTTAACAATATCTTTTCCTATGCAGCACAGCCAAAACAACCAGAAGAGAGAGTTTGTAGTCTCAGTTACTTGGAGAATAATTTTAATAAGGTCATACTCTAGTTAATCTGAAGATAAATTTGAAATCATAGAATATTTAGAATAAAGAAAAATAATTCAGATCCATTCATTCTCTAAATATCAAGAAAAAGACATATCAAGGCATGAACAGGTTTCTTATGACTGCAAACTTACTCAAAGTGACACTTATGTGAAAGTAATTCTTTTTACAGACGGAATGAACGAGACTTCATTATTTCAAGATGAAAGTCTATTTCTCAGCATGGTTTTAAAATGCTTCCCATGCCACTTTGTCACTTTTGAAAAATCTGGGTCTGGTCCCTGAGAAAGCCAGGAACCAGGAGCTCCGTCCCAATCTCCCACATGGGTGGCAGGGGCCCAGTTACTTGGGCCATCTTATGCTGCCTTCCTAGGTCCACTATCAGGGAGCTGGATCAGAAGCTGAGTAGCTGGCACACAAATTGGCATTCCCATATGGGATGCCAGCATTGCAGCCAGGGGCTTAACCTGCTGCATCACAACACCTGTTGCATTCTCAAAAATCTCTCCAGAGCTGTTCATGGCCTTTTGTTGCTGCCTGTGCCTTGACCATTCCCCATTACTCTATTCTTAGGTCAAGCATCTTGGATTCTTCACAGGAGATAGATCCTCTCTTCTAGGATTTCTTTTATTATTTTTTTTAAAGACTTGTTTTATTTATTTGAAAGACAGAGTTACAGAGAGAGGTAAAGACAGAGAGAGGTCTTCCATCCACAGTTTCACTCCCCAGATGGCTGCAACTGCTGGAGCTGAACCAATCCGAAGCCAGGAGCCAGGAGCTTCTGGGTCTCCCATAGGGGCGCAGGGGCCCAAGGACCTGGACTTGGGTCATCCTCTGCTGCTTTCCCAGGAGCATTAGCAGGGAGTTGGATCTGAAGTGGAGCAACCAGGACTCCAACCGATGTCCATAAGAGGTGCTGGCACTACAGGCTGGGGCTTTAACCTGCTGCACCACAGTGCCTGCCCCTCCTCTAGGACTTCTTAACACTCAATTCTTTTTTTTTAATAAGATGGTCAAGATACCAAGAATCTTCTTTTTAAAAAATATTTGTATTATTTATTTGAAAGACAGAGTTACAGACAGAGGGAGAGACAGAGTGAAGTCTTCCATCTGCTGATTCACTCTCAAAATGGCCACAATAGCTGGAGCTGAGCCGATCCGAAGTCAGGAGCCAAGAGCTTCTTCCGGGTCTCCTACGCAGGTGCAGGGGCCCAGGGACTTGGGCCATCTTTTGCTGCTTTCCCAGGCACACTAGCAGGGAGATGGATCAGAAGTGGAGCAACAGGGACTGGAACCAGTGCCCATATGAGATGCTGGCACTTTAGGCCAGGGCTTTAAACAACTGTGCCACAGTGCTGGCCCTAACACTCAGCTCTTAACTGTGATTCTTCAACCCTATGCTCAGAGAGATTGGGAGATAGGTGTTAGCTTCTCCAGTCCTCATCCATGATCCAGGAAAGCAGATTCCACTTTGTTTCTGAAGGCTGTCAAGGGCCGAGAGGATGCTCTGAGACCCCTTCCCTGAGATCATGTGCAAAGGTTTGGAGTCTGGAGAGTTTGGAGTCTGGAGAGTTTTCTCCTAGAACATAGGGCTCTTCCACACAGCCTTCCACAAAGGGGTACCTTGGGTATCTCAGAGGTAGGACTGGGAAGCTGAGAGTATCTGAACACTGATACTGAGGCCGAGCTTCAGGAAAGCCCCAAGTGTTAGACTTGACAGGCAGAGTGGACAGTGAGAGAGAGAGACAGAGAGAAAGGTCTTCCTTTGCCATTGGTTCACCCTCCAATGGCCGGCGCGGCCGGCGCACGGCGCTAATCCGAAGGCAGGAGCCAGGTACTTCTCCTAGTCTCCCATGGGGTGCAGGGCCCAAGGACTTGGGCCATCCTCCATTGCACTCCCTGGCCACAGCAGAGAGCTGGCCTGGAAGAGGGGTAACCGGGATAGAATCCGGCGCACCGACCGGGACTAGAACCCAGTGTGCCGGCGCCGCTAGGTGGAGGATTAGCCTATTGAGCCGCGGCGCCGGCCAGATTTTCCTTTGACTACAAATTGAGAAATATTGGGGCCAGCGCCGTGGCTCACTTGGTTAATCCTCCACCTGTGGCACCAAGTTCTAGTCCCGGTTGCTCCTCTTCCATTCCAGCTCTCTGCTTTGGCCCAGGAGGGCAGTGGAGGATGGCCCAAGTGCTTGGGCCCTGCATCCGCATTGGAGACCAGGAGGAAGCACCTGGCTCCTGACTTCTGACCGGCATAGCGCCGGCCGTAGCGGCCATTTGGGGGTGAACCAACAGAAGGAAGACCTTTCTCACTCTCTCTCTCACTGTCTATGACTCTACCTGTCAAATAAATTAAAAAAAATTGAGAAATATTATCTTAGTACAATTACCATGTGAGTATTAAACCAATTAATTTATATTCAGGAACAAATTCTTGGAAGACTTATGTAATGCCACCAAATCAGCATTAAATACAGCTCTGGGGTTAATCACTCGATTAGGAGTGTATAAAAGGGTCAGATCGGAATTATTTTGCATGGCTTTAATTTGTAGCCCACCAAATGTCAGTTTATTCCTGCCGCGGGATACTTTTCCTTCTGTGGTCATATTAGTCAAAGCTGGAGAGAATGTATGTATTTTGTTTCAACCTAAATACATCGTCCAGAATTCGTTCAGGAGTGGAAGGGAGGTTCCTCTGATCCAATCACGAGGCTGTTCCTGGCACCCAGGAGGGCGCCTGTTGGGGCAGGGAACGCTGCGGGCGGGTTTGGGTTCTGCGGTGGGAATGCGCCGAGCAGCGTCAGCGATGGGGACGCCGCGGGAAGATCCGGCCGCGCCGCCTCTGGGCAGGCGAGGGGCGTGGGAGAACGCGCGGGGAGGGTGGGCCCGGGACCGCTTTCCCCTGAGCAAGAGCCCGGGCAGCCGCCAGGGAGCGAGGGGCAGGCTCAGGCAGCTCCCCAGGCGCTGCAGCGGTGATAAAACTTGAGAAAGAACAAGGAGGGGCGGCTCGGCGGCTCCTGGGTCCAATCCAGTGTCAGGAGCGAGCAGGCTCGCGGGCAGGCAAGCCAGAGAGGCTCAGGCGACGTCAAGGCAAACAGCAGTGAGAGCAGCACCTGCCGCACCTCTCGCGGTCGGTCTCCTCTCCGAACGCCCGCGTTCTCCATCTCCTGCCCGCGCCCCGATGGCCGCCGCCGGGCCGCGGAGCCCCCTGCGGCTGCTGCTGCCCCTCTTGGTGAGCCAGGGAGCGCGATTGCGGGAGCTGGGGTGGGAAGGGCTGGGTGCGCCCTGGCCCCTGCCGGGAAGCGGTCAGGAGTGCAGCAAACCAAGGTGGCCTCGAGGGGTTCAGCTTCATCCTGCGGGGTGAGTGCGAGTCCCAGGTTTCGGGCCTGGAGGGGTGAAGAGGGAAATTTCAGATTTTTTGGGGGGACACCCGGATTGATTGAATTCTGGCTTCCGGGCGAGGGGGCGGGCGTCTCCGCGGTCGTCCCGCTCCTGTCAGGGGTCTCAAGGCTGGGCTGGAAGAGGGAATTGGGGACACTTTGCGTGAAGAGGGAGAAAGTTTGTTGGCCAGAAATTCAGGATCCCAGAGCGAGCATGTCTGGGACCTGGGGTGAGGGTCAAGGAGTTGCCCTCACCGTCTTCGGCCGGGGTCGCAGTGACCTCTGACGGGGGCGTTCCTGAGGGGAGTGAGGGGAGCCGTCGGAGCAGATCCCGGCATGAGGCTGCCTCTGCAAAACGAGTTTCCCAGCTTTGCTCCCCTAAGGTTAATCAGGAGCTCGCCTCAACCCTTCACCCCCGCCAGCCACCTGGCCGGGGGCGGAGGGTGCCTGGGGCGCTAAGTGTGGGAAGGCTCGGGTGCGGGCTGGGGTCGCTGGCATGGTGCGGGAATGAGGTTGCGGTGAAGTTGATCCATAGGGTTAGGGTGGGATAAAGGGGTGGGGTCCCATTGAGTGGGGCTGGGGGGCGAGCTGCGCGGGCATAGCGCCCAGCCTGAGGTCTCTTGCGCCCCGAAACCCTGCGCCTGAGAATGAGACCTTCTTGAAGTGGAAGTTAGGGAAGACTCTGTGAGAAGCCGGGAACTTTATAGAGAAAAACAGGAATTTTGACTGAAGTTTCAGATCTGGTCGGAGTTGCACTTGCTACAGACGGAAAGGAGCCGCGGACCGCGACTTACCCGCAGCGGAGGATGGGCTTGGGGCGCGGCGCTGGGAGGGGTCCACCCTTGGCTTTGCGGGTTCTTATTGCTCCACTGGCCCCAAGCGCGGCGGGTGGGTCCAAGCTGCGCCCTCCCTCTAAATCAGCGAGGTATGAATACGGATCCGTAGCGCTGATTTAAGGTAGACAAGTATTTAGGGACAGGGAACTGCACCAAGAATCGCGTGGACTGGCTGACTATCCAGGCAGACGTAAAGACTCTCACAGTGGGAGCGGCTTGCAAAATGATGTAGCCTCCTGTTCTAGGTTTGAGCGTTTTCTGTCTTTATGTTCAAACGGCATGAATATTGGTGTCTGTGTTTTTCCTAGGAAGGAATTAGGTGATGGGGAGAGTAAACTGTTCCAGATTTCTCTTGCTCACTCCAGGGGAGGGCGTGGAAGACAGGACAAATGGGGTGCGGGGTGTGGCAAGACGAGAAGGTGCCGTGAGTCTCAACAGAGAAGGCTTCAGCTCTGATCTTGGCATACACTCGGTGTTATTTCTGAAAATAATTTCAGCGAGTCTGGAATATGTGGCTCCTCTCCAAACTTGGATAGTGGAGCGTGTACACTGGGCGTTTGTTTATTTCACCTGCATTCCGCGGTTTACAAACACTGCATTTCCGTCCACTGCTGACTCTCTTGTTTCTACTTTCTTCTGATTCACAGGACTGTCAACTTTGCAATATAACACGAATGACAGCGTTTTAGAAACATTGCTCATTTTATAGAGACTTTCAAGGATCTCTCAAAAGCACGTGCTTGTTCTAAGGGGAAACCTTTTTCAAAGCAGATCTCAAACACAAATCTGAGGCTGAGCTTCTTGGCCTTCCCTGGAGCCCTCCCAAAAGTTTAGGAATGTTCCCAAAGTACGCAGTTTCCCCCTTTCATCTCTTTCTCAGCCCCCTTCCACAAGCACACTGTAAACTTTGATCAAATACACTTTGTAATACGCACACACAGAGCCCATAGAGAGGAGAGGAGAGGAGAGGAGAGGAGAGGAGAGGAGAGGAGAGGAGAGGAGAGGAGAAGAGAAGGGAGGAAACCAGAAGAGAAATACTTCACCTTTGTCAAGTTTTGGATCTTCCAAAATGTTCTCTTTTATTGTAACACAAGTTGTTAGGGATGGTGACTTTAGATCAGTTGTCTTCTGTTTGTCACAAATAATGAGATTCCTTTTTAGTGTGTGTTTAGCATTGTTCTCCATATCAAATCCACCTTGGGAATCCTGTTATTCCTTATAGATGATAAATGGTACATACTGGGACACAATCTATCATTTTGCTAAAAGGTTTTTCTAACAAAGAACTAAAACACAATATTTAGAATAACCTTTCCCTCACAGATTCTGTACTTTTTCCTTTGGAGTATACCAGGGTACATCAAAAAGCCTGTGGAAAAGGTGTATTGTGAAAGAAAACTATCCATGGATTTCAAAAATGTGTTCGTATCAAAGAAAACATATCTTTTAATTCTTCTTTTCTCCTAAAAAACTTTTTGGAGTGACTTTGTGTGGAGTGTCTCTACAACTTATGTCAACAAACATGCCTTCTGTCTTTTCAGGTTTTGCAACATCAGAGTAATATGACTCCTTAACTGAAACATTTTTGTTGTTCTTGACAACATTTGACTTTTTTTTTTTTTTTTTTTTTTTTTTGAGAAACAGAGAAGGAGCACTCCATCAGCTGGCTCACTTCCCCAATGCCTGCAACAGCTAGGGCTGGGCTAGGCGAAAGCCGAGAGCCAGGAACTCAATCCAGGTCTCCCACACGAATGGCCCAGGGACCCAACCACTGGTGCCATTGCTTAGTGCCTCCTAGAATCTGGGTTAGCAGGAAGATGGAACCAGAAGCTGGAACTCAGACTTGAACCCAGGCTCTCTGATATGAGGCAGAGTTTCTAATCTTTGTCTTAACTACTCTGCCAAACACAGACTCCAACATATTAATCTTTTTAAAATAAAAGGGAGATAAAAAATTTCTATCAACTTTTATATTAGTGAAAAAGAAAGGTTAAGGCAAATAAAGGAAGTGAGGAGTACTTTTTTATTTTTATTTTTTAAGATTTATTTATTTATTTGAAAGTCAGAGTTACACAGAGAGAGGAGAGGCAGAGGCAGAGAGAGAGAGAGGTCTTCCATTTCATTCCCTAATTGGCCACAATGGCCGGAGCCAGGAGCTAGGAGCTTCTTCTGGGTCTCCCACATGGATGCAGGGACCCAAGGACTTGGGCTATCTTCTACTGCTTTCCCAGGCCATAGCAGAGAGCTGGATTGGAAGTGGAGCAGCTGGGACTCGAACCGGCATGTGGGATGCCGGAGCTTCAGGCCAGGGTGTTAACCCGCTGTGCTACAGCGCTGGCCCTGAGTACTTTATTTTAAAGTTAGGATCTTAAGAAAGTCAAAATTTTAGTATATATTTAGATGAATGCATAGTCAGTTACCCTTCAAAAAGGAGACTGATGTCCCCATATGTTGAGATACAGATAGATAACAGCAGCACCTTCCTAGTAGCTATGAGAATGTAAACTTGGGCACAATTTTTGGTCCTATTGAAATCTCCATGGCTGTTGAGTTCCATAAATGGCATCTGTGGTAACCTGAGATTACTCATAGTTTTGACTTAATCAGAATTCTCATCTTACAATCAATTTGGTTAAAGGGAAATTTATGGGAATTGTCTGTAAATCTTGCACTTGTACATTTGAAGTGATAAGAATGTGAAAGGCAGTATTTCCATTTTTCAGAAGACCAGTGTCCCCAGAAGAAAATGAAGATTAAAATTTGGTAATTTGGTCAGTCAAGAAGATGCTTTAAATTTCAGACACTCCATAAATTTCCATTGTTTAGCTTCTTTTTCCTCTATTGAAAAAGGATATTATTTTGAAAGCTTGGTTTGTGTATTCAGTTCATGTAACTGGGGGCAGTGCTGTGGTGCAGGGGTTAAGCCACCATCTGCAGCGCCAGCTTCCCATATGGATGCAGGTTCATGTCCCTGCTGTACCACTTCTGATTCAGCTCCCTGCTAATGTGCCTGGGAAAGCAGTGGAGAATGGCCCAAATGCTTGGGCCCCTGCACCCATGTGGGAGACCTGGAGGAAGTTCCTGGCTTCTGGCCCAGCCCCGGCTCTTGTGGCCATTTGGGGGAGTGAACCGTTGGATGGAACACTTTCTCTCTGTCTCTCCCTCTCTCCAATTCTGACTTATAAATACATACAATAGATAAAAAATTCACACAACTGAAAAACACAAAAGTGCAAAAACTGCATTTTAAATTTTCACTCTTCCTTTCATATTCAGTTTTTCTATCAGAATTTAATACTTTTTTCTGATAGTATTTCAATCACACAATTAATAAAATTTATATATTACTATCAAGTGAAAGGAAAAATTTTGTCTCCTTTGCTACAGTATGCTATACTTTGTATTATATTTTAAAACTTAACTTGTTACATTTTAGTATAAAGTTGCTTTTAACCCTAGGTTTTATTAATCAGATATTTAATATTGCCCTGAAGTTCTCCATTAAAAGGGATTCTTCTATAACTTAGATTATCACTATAATTCTTTAGGTTTAAAAACATGTACACATAGAATAAAATTAAACAAAGGCAGGTAAATAAATGACAAACACAAAAATCCTTCACCAGTGGTTACTGGAGTTTGGGGCAGTGAAAGAGGGAAGCACATGCAACTGAGGAGATGGACTTGAATATACAGGGACTTTGAGATTGTTAGCAGTGTTCTATTTTTTAACCTTGAATGTGAATACCATAGGGTTATTTTTTTTAATAATTAAAATATATATATATATTATGTGAGATCTTTCATATTTATAATGTATTTTGCAAAGAACATTTAAAAAAGAAACAAGCAATTAAAAGAATCAACAAAACCAAAAGTTGTTTTTTGTAAATATGGACAAATCATGTTATGTTGGTCACACAAAAAGTAGGAAGGTATAGATAAAAGAACTTTTGCAATAAAAAGACACAGATGATAAAAATAAGATATTAATATATTATTCCAATGAATGTGAA